AGAAAGCCACCTTAGTGTCAGCGCTGATCAGAGCCAGGCGAGCGTCGTTACCTCGCTAAAAGTAACACGGGCGTCAAGCACAGCAGCCGGGGGATCATGTCCGTCGTGCAAGGGTTTGGTCGTCTCGGGTGGAATTGGTGTTCCCTCTGGCAGTGCCAGAGTTACACGGTCAAGCGCAGCATGGCTTGGCAGGACTCGATGGAGCAGGGTGAGCGAGATTGCTGCAGGCTCCTCTTGGGTAGCTGTTTTTCAACTAGTTGTGTCTTACTTCACAGAAAGACCCAAATTACCCGAGAATTACACTCACGACACCTGGCAAAAACTACATGAAGCAGTGGGAGCAATACAGAGTAGTATTTCTATTAAATACAACCTTGAAGAGCTCTACCAGGTAAGGCACATAGGGTTTTGGTTTCATTTCTCTGAGTTTAACAGAAAGTTAATAAACTACTTTGAGACTTTCACAGAGCACGCATTCAACATAACGTATTTTGATTTGTTAAAAGCTGAGTGTATTTTTTGAACGCTTTGCTCCATGCTCCATTTCCAGTCAGTTTGCAGTTTTATATATCAGTTCCTTGGAGAGTTACGAGGATCTCGGCCCATGAAAAAACAGTTTATGGTGAGAGACACAGAAAACTATTCCTGGGCAGGGCTGAAATTTCTCTTGGTATCTTCAATACTCTGCCCACTCAACATGCTGAAAACAGGATGTTCCTCTAACTGGCTTATGAAGTTATATATTTTATGATTTTTGTACATGGTATGGTCTCTTGTAAATAGTGAAGTTGAAATGTTTGCTATTATTAGATAATAACACAACACTTCAACATAAATACTTTTTGGGGAATTGAGAAGGAATCTCAATTGAGCAGGCAACAAACTGTCAGTTTACCCATGTTTCAGGTTACTGTTATATTTACATAACAATCAGGATCTTAGTTTTTTTTACTGAAGTGGTGAAAAAGTATTTCTAGAACATCTGTGCTAATAGAGCAGGGACTAGGAAGGGTAAAAGAGAGACATACTCATGAACCATTTCTTTCTACTTTCTCAATTTGTATGTGATTTAATTCTATGTTATTTTAAATGTATGTACTTTGAGGTATTTAAGTGAAGTAGTAATTTTTTACAGTGATCATGTTATAAAAAATTACTAATGCACTAAGTTGTGCTACACAGCATAAGTTAGTTACAAGTTTTTTGTGGGTGCAGGTGTTTGATGTGCAGATGCCCCATCTGTTGATGCCCTTGGCAGATCAGGACTTAAGATACTATTATGCTCACCTGACACTTTCTCAGTGTTCAGTTGAGGTACGTTTGATGTTGTCTGCAAAGTGCAGACTTTGAGAGAGAGAAGACCAGCAGTTCATATTGGGTCCATGCTCAAGAAAATCAGGCTGTTTTTGAGAACTGACTGTAACTATACTTGTCTCTGTGATTAGTTAGGGTGTATAAAATATGGATCTAAAATGGGTGATTATGTACATGTGTATTGACTTGATATAATTTATTCCCTTTAAATAGAAAAATTGACTGTGATGTATTCATCTGTTAATACTTGCAGGTTTGCAGAGTTTGAATTGCATAATACATTTTATCATTTTAAACTCAGCATTTCAAAAATCCTGCTTTTTCACGCCTAGCTAAAAAAGAAAATCCCACAGATGCTTTGAGCGTTACCTAACTTGTTTTCAGAGTCTCAGAAATGAGATTATAGTAATATGGGTATGAAATCGCTGGGGTACAGGCTTGAGTTTTGGCAGAAGAGGAGAAGAGAGATTTCAGATAAACTGTGAAGTGAGAACTGTACTTCTTGCTTTCTCTCTTTGCCTGCTTGTTTGTAAAAACTGCACGAGGCCGGTCGAATAATCTGCGAAGCAGCAGATCAGCAAGATTTCTGTGCAGAGGGTGGTAGCAGTCAGTGTTCCTGTGCACAGACAGGTACTTACGTGCCAGAGGAATAAAAGATGAGGTTCAGCATCCATTGGAAACCTGATCTGTACTTACAGATCGTTTTAACTGTTCATGAGTATAGTGTGCATCAGTTCTTACTATTGGGGCTTTCTTTTTGCCTTTTTTTTTTTGAGTCTTTCTCCAGCATTATGGAAGGAAGTGAGAGGCCTGCTAGAGTTTAGTGCAGTGAGTGGGCTGGGGTACCAGCCTGCCTTTGAACTTTCTGATTTATTTATTTAATTTGGCTCAGTGGCTGTGGAGAAACCAAAGAACAATGACGAGGCTTTGTAGGAAGCCTGAAGGCTACTCCTTTCCAGGCATTAGAGGCAGCATGGGATTAGGCACGAAGGTGATTGGCAGAGACATAGTCAGTGAGCAATGGGAGGGTGGCAGCCAATTTTTTCTGACCAAAATAGAAATGATATCTGGGATTGGTGGTAGATTGCACAAGTTTTGATAGAAGTAGCTTTTACTTGGTGGGATAGAGAAATTGGGGCAGTTCGAAGAATTGAGGAATGAGTGATAAAAATAATGGGGAAAAAAATTACCTTTGCAATGAAGCCCTAAATAACCTGAAGTGGGGCACCACTGCCCTTCTGGAGGACATAGAATAGGGCAGTGTAGTAGTAAAGGAAAAAAATTAGAGTCCTGACTAGACTTTTGTTTGGATGAGTGGATAGGAAAAGCTGTGTCTGAGGAAACATAACAAACTATCTGCAAAACAGATAGTGTGAATACTGTTTGTTCCAAGTGTCATTTTACTTAGCTGTTCTAAGACCAGATGAAAAAAACCATAATATCATTGTGTGATAATTTTGTTTGTTTGTTTTTATACTTTAATGTTGTGTCAAAATTGAGAAAGCCATTTTTATGTACATTTAAATAAAATGACATTAGATAGGTTAGAATTACCCCATGGAGAGAACTCTGTGAAGCAGATTCAGTTTACATTTTGGAAAACAAACTCTTCAGTGTGTTTGAACCTATAGAGGAAATAATACAAGAATTAGCAATAACTCGCATGGTAAATGTTAAAACAGAAGCCTCTGCTTCAAACAAGTTATTAAAAGGTTGATTGGAAACAAAACTTTTACTAGATCTGTGTGAGTGAAGAAGCTAAAACTGTTATCTCTCTGATATCTTTGTAGACGTGATTATTACTGTATCTTTTTTTTCAAACGAAATATATGCAAGATGAATAAGAGTCAAATCAAGTTTCTTCAGAAAGAGAGGCAGGAAAATCTGAATAAACAAATGGTGAATGAGGAGGGAATTACTTGATTTCATACCAAAAAAACCCAAACAAACCAAAAAACGAAGCAGGAACAGGTGGCACAGAGGTGGTATGGCTGCAGGTTGTAATACACTTTAAGCCAGTGCTGTTGCCCAAGGAATCA